GGGTCAGCGATGCCCAGCCCAGAAGAGGGGGGGGATATGACAGTGTCAAGGCCCCCCCAGAGCAAGGAACGGTAGTTTCAGGGTTCCCCCTCCACGGAATGGTGGTGTCAAGGTCCCCCCAACCCAGGGGAGGGGATGGCGGTCTCGAGGCCCCCCCCCAGAGCAAGGAATGATAGTTTCAAAGCCCCCCTCACTCTAACCGAAGGGCAGTGTCAAGGCCCCCCCCATCAAGGAATGCTGGTTTCAAGGCCCCCCCCCAACCCCAGGGGAGGGGATGGCGGTCTCAAGGCCCCCCCTAGGGGAGAGAATGGCAGTGTCCAGGCCCCCCCCCTCCAACGCAATGGCAGTGTCAAGGTCCCCCAGGGGAACAAATGGCAGTGTCAAGGTCCCCCAGATCAAGGAATGGCGGTGTCAAGGCCCCCCACCCACCCCCAGGGTGGAGGGGATGGTAGTTTCAAGGCCCCCCCCCACTCTAACAGAAGGGCAGTGTCAAGGCCCCCCACCCCAGGGGAGGGGATGGCGGTGTCGAGGCCCCCCCCAGGGGAGGGAATGATAGTTTCAAGGCCCCCCTCCAGAGCAAGGAATGGTAGTTTCAAGGTTCCCCCCCCCCACACAATGGTGGTGTCAAGGCCCCCCCATCAAGTAATGCTGGTTTCAAGGCCCCCCCAACCCAGGGGAGGGGATGGTGGTCTCAAGGCCCCCCCTAGGGGAGAGAATGGCAGTGTTCAGGCCCAACGCAATGGCAGTGTCAAGGCCCCCCAGGGGAACAAATGGTAGTGTCAAGGCCCCCCAGATCAAGGAATGGTGGTTTTAACGCCCCCCCTCAAATGCGATATTAGTGTCAAGGCCCCCCAGAGCAAGGAATGGTAGTTTCAAGGTACCCCCCCCCCCACGGAATGGTGGTGTCAAGGCCCCCCACCCACCCCCAGGGGAGGGGATGGCGGTGTCGAGGCCCCCCATGGAAGGCGATGGTGGTCTCGAGGCCCCCCATGGAAGGGGAGGGAATAGTAGTGTCAAGGCCCCCCAGAGCAAGGAATGGTATTTTCAAGGCCCCCCCCCACTCTAACAAAAGGGCAGTGTCCAGGCCCCCCAGATCAAGGAATGGCGGTGTCAAGGCCCCCCACCCATCCCCAGGGGGAGGGGATGGTAGTTTCAAGGCCCCCCCCCACTCTAACAGAAGGGCAGTGTCAAGGCCCCCCACCCCAGGGGAGGGGATGGCGGTGTCAAGGCCCCCCCAGAGCAAGGAATGATAGTTTCAAGGCCCCCCCCATTCTAACAGAATGGTGGTGTCAAGGCCCCCCACCCCAGGGGAGGGGATGGTGGTCTCGAGGCCCCCCTTTCCAACAGTAGTGTCAAGGGCCCCCCAACCCAGGGGAGGGGATGGCGGTGTCGAGGCCCCCCAGGGGGGAACGGAGCGGCCGGACAGAGCTCAGGAGGCCGGGGTTGGACACACGGGTTTTATTGGAACAGGAGTTGGGGGGGGCTGTGACCCCCGACCCCCACCCCCGTGACCCCTGACCCCGACCCCCCCACCCCCGTCCCGTGACCCCCAAAACAAAAGCCAGGATGACACCGAGCGGAGACCCTGGCCGGGGGTCACCGGGGTCAAGGGTCAGGGGTCACCCTGGGGATCCTGGGGTTGCAAGGGTCGGGGTTCGAGGTCTCTGGCTGTGTCTGTGTGTCCGAGAGGTCACGTGATGTCATCGCCGTGGGCCTGGATGCGTGATGTCATCGCCGTGGGCCTGGACGCGTGATGTCACTGGTGCTGGCCAGACCCATGATGTCATCAACACAGGCCGGACTTGTGATGTCATTGCCGTGGGCCTGGACTTGTGATGTCATCAACAGAGGCCGGACTCGTGATGTCATCGCCATGGGCTTGGACGCGTGATGTCACCGGTGCTGGCCAGACCCATGATGTCATCAACACACGCTGGACTGGTGATGTCACTGGTGTTGGCCAGACCTATGATGTCATCATTACTGGCCAGACTGGTGATGTCATCGCCGTGGGCCTGGACTCGTGATGTCACCGGTGTTGGCCAGACCCATGATGTCATCAACACAGGCCGGACTTCTGATGTCATCGCCGTGGGCCTGGACTTGTGATGTCACTGGTGTTGGCCAGACCTTGTGATGTCATCACTACAAGCTGGACTTGTGATGTCACTGGTGCTGGCCGGACCTACGATGTCATCATTACTGGCCGGACCCATGAGGTCATCGACACAGGCCGGCCTCGTGCCCCCCCGCCCCGTGACCCCCCGTGACCCCCCGCGACCCCGTCCCCCCCCCCCCACGGCCCTTCTACCTGGTCCAGGCGCTGCGGCGGCGGCGTGCGGGCGAGCGGGAGCGGGAGCGGGCGGCCCGGCCCCCCCCCGGCCGCCGCTGGCCGCCTCCCCGCTGCCCGTCGGGCCCCGGCCGGCGGCGACGGCCCCGTCGGCCGCCCCCCGCCTCCCCGGAGGAGGAGGAGGAGGAGGAGGAGGACGGGGAGGACGGGGGGGACCGGCCGGCCTCGGGGTCCCGGGGGCGCGTGGCGCTGGACGTGGCCAGCGGGCCAGGCCGGGGCCCGGGGTCGGGGGTGGAGGCCGGCACGGCGGCCGGGGGGGTCGTGGCGGTCATCGTGGTGGCGGTGGTGGTGGCTGCCGGGGCGCCGGCCCTCGCGTCCGCCTCCCGGGGGTCTGCGTGCGGCCTGCTGGCCACGGCCCGGCCGGCGTCCGACGGGGCGGCCAGGGCCTGCACGGAGCGCAGCAGGCGCAGCAGGGCGTCCTCGGAGGCTGGGGTGGTGGTGGAGGCTGGGATGGTGGAGGCTGGGATGGTGGAGGCCGGGGTGGTGGTGGTGGAGGCCGGGGCCGGGCCCTGGGCCAGCAGCAGGCCCAGCAGCCGCTCCCGCAGCGCCCGCTCCTTCCTCTGCAGGCCCAGCGCCCGGCGCTTCTCCTCCTCCACGCGGCGCAGCTCGGCCTCCTGCACCCGACGCCGCTCCGCCTGCGCCCGGCTCCGGCGACGCTCCTCCTCACGCTCACGGGCGGCCAGACGGGCGGCCTGCAGGACGGGTGGACGCACAGGGGGTACACGCGGGACGGACGCGCGGACGGCGATTCCCCCCCCCCCCCGGGTCACAGGGATCGAGGACGGCGATCCGCTGGATCACAAGGATCTCTGGATCCCCTAGATCACAGGGATCTGTGTGTGGACAGGGATCCCCCGGATCACAGGGATCTAGGACAGTGATCCGACAGATCAAAGGAATCTAGGACAGTGACCAACTGGATCTCAAAGATCTCTTGATCCCCTAGATCACAGGGATCTGTGTGTGGACAGGGATCCCCCACATCACAGGGATCTAGGACAGTGATCCGACAGATCACAGGGATCTGTGTGTGCACAGGGATCCCCCGGATCACAGGGATCTAGGACAGTGATCCCCCAGGTCACAGGGATCTGTCTGTGGACATTGATCCCCTGAATCACAGGAATCTAAGACAGTGATCCTCCGGATCAGAAGGATCTATCTAGGACAGCGATCTCCTGGATCACAGGGATCTAGGACAGTGATCCGACAGATCACCGGGATCTCTGTGTGGGCACTGATCCCCCAGATCACAGGGACCTAGGACAGTGATCCACGGGATCACAAGGATCTCTTGATCCCCTAGATCACAGAGATCTGTGTATGGACAGTGATCCCCCAGACCACAGGGACCTAGGACAGCGATCCGACAGATCAAAGGAATCTAGGACAGTGACCAACTGGATCTCAAAGATCTCTTGATCCCCTAGATCACAGGGATCTGTGTGTGGACAGGGATCCCCCACATCACAGGGATCTAGGACAGTGATCCGACAGATCACAGGGATCTGTGTGTGGACAGGGATCCCCCAGATCACAGGGATCTAGGACAGTGATCCCCCAGGTCACAGGGATCTGTCTGTGGACATTGATCCCCTGAATCACAGGAATCTAAGACAGCGATCCTCCGGATCAGAAGGATCTAGGACAGCGATCTCCTGGATCACAGGGATCTAGGACAGTGATCCGACAGATCACCGGGATCTCTGTGTGGGCACTGATCCCCCAGATCACAGGAATCTAGGACAGTGATCCACGGGATCACAAGAATCTCTTGATCCCCTAGATCACAGAGATCTGTGTATGGACAGTGATCCCCCAGACCACAGGGACCTAGGACAGCGATCGACTGGATCTCAAGGATCTCTTGATCCCCTAGATCACAAGGATCTGTGTATGGACAGGGATCCCCCAGATCACAGGGATCTAGGACAGTGATCCCCCAGGTCACAGGGATCTGTCTGTGGACATTGATCCCCCGAATCACAGGGATGTAGGACAGTGATCCACTGGATCACAAGGATCTCTTGATCCCCTAGATCACAGGGATCTGTGTATGGACAGTGATCCCCGGATCACAGGGACCTAGGACAGCGATCCCCCAGATCACAGGGATCTAGGACAGTGATCCGGCAGATCACAGGGATCTGTCTGTGGACAGTGATCCCCCAGATCACAGGAATGTAGGACAGTGATCCACCAGATCACAAGGATCTCCTGATCCCCTAGATCACAGACATCTGTGTATGGACAGTGATCCCCCAGATCACAGTAATCTGTGCATGGACAATGATCCCCGGATCACAAGGACCTAGGACAGCGATCTCCTAGATCACAGGGATCTAGGACAGTGATCCGACAGGTCACAGGGATCTGTGTGTGGACAGTGATCCCTGGATCACAAGGATCTGTGTACAGACAGTGATCTCCCAGATCACAGGGATCTAGGACAGCGATCCACCGGATCACAGGGATCTGTGTGTGGACAGTGATCCCCCGGATCACAAGGATCTGTGTGTGTAGACAGTGATCCCCTGGATTGCAGGGATCTAGGGCAGCGATCCACCAGATCACAAGGATCTAGGACAGCGATCCCCCGGATCCCAGGGAACCGCGAGCGAGACCCACCTTGGCCCGGGCCAGCAGGGCG